TATTTGGTAGTTTAGGCAGGTGTTAATTTATTTTTCACTTCACTCTACCTTCATCTCAGAAATGCATAATTCTTCTCGTTGTATCGCAAATTTGAGCAGTTCCCGGTATTTGTGGAGGTAAAATTTTACTTATGGTGCGGGATTTTGTTGCCAAACATTAGATGGTTTAAATAATTCTTCCTATTTTTTCTACTACTTTCGTTGCTTTCCTCTGCAATTCTCAAACTTTATAATCTTTATAAGCCCCGGGTACGTATTACACAAGGAAGGGGTTTTAGCGTGCTAATTGGGGACCTAAGTCCAACTTCCACCATTGTTTCTAACCGAAAACAAATGTCACAATTTTAGCTAACATTTCATGATATACTGCGTCTACTGGAGTTGAGGAAATGAGATCAAGTATATTTCACCATCAGCAGCAGCTGCAGACATAATGTGCGGTAGAGTAGAACTGGATGGCTAACTTAAACACGGATAACAGACCGTTTTGTTAGTCAGTTAATGCAGGCGTATTCGGCGAGTGCGGGGTTGGGGGGAGGGGAGGGGGGAGAGAAATGCCGCTTTTTTTCCTAACTAGACACAAGAAACTGAAGTAGCCGACGTCAGTCAGTCTCAAACTGCTGCAGCGAACTACGAGAACTCAAAGGCCTCACGGAAAGCCGACATTCTGTCCTAAAAGCAGCCCCAGAAGCGAACACAGCTCCTACGCGACTGTGTCTATCACAACATGAAAAGAGCGGACTGTACGGGAGGCCGGCAATCAACCAACCAACCACTTTTATCCTCGTTCGCATCCACGCCCTCCTCCCGGTAACTCATGATAACAGACATGCATGCCTTTGTCCATTAAACAGCGTCCAACATGGGGTCAAGGTTAGACGTTGATGGTGATATTCAGAAGGAGCAATTGTTGCCTCTTGCAACCATCTACGCTTTTGCCACCTGAATTACAGCCAAAAATAATTATAATGTAGGTATTTAGGTGCTAGCACATCTATTTACGGCAACCACAAGACATGAAATCAACCAAAATGGTATGGAGCCGTTGTGCTAAATTTAGTAGTTATTGCCTTCGTGGTTTCGCCGATGGTGTCCATTAGGTTTATGGTATTAATGCAGGATTTAAGTCGTATTTTTACAACTGTTTAAAAATGAGTGACGGTAAGATTTCTATCACACATTCTATCACATTTAAAGCTGCAGTACACAGCCATACGTGCTAAAAGGTGGCAGCATTATGGGTTTTGGTCCGCTGAACATACCGTAAACTGTTAGTTAACAGATATGAACACCGACCTACAGTACAGTCGGAATTTCATGCAAAAAGCTGAAATTTACGAAAGTTTGATAATCACTCGCTTATTCTCACGTCATTTCAGTCACCATAGGATGCCGGCTTTTTAATGAGTTTTTTTCCACACGCTTACAAAAAGCATGTTCTGTTAACAGTGGCTGCTTTATTAGTGTGCATTTAACTAATTGACTTCCACTTCCCTTATAAATTCAAATATATTTTGGAGAAAACGCGTATGTAATTATTCGTTCTTATACCTGCTTGCCAGGAAATTACTCTTTTAAATTGTACACCTAAAGAAAAGGCACCTTACCATTTTAAAAGAGTCCCAATTGTCTAATATTTTTGATACTTACCGACCACTACACTAGAATTCAACGTTTTCTAACTGCATGTAGTTTACATCCTGTGTAAGGAAAAATACGGTTTTCCTATGATATGAGGAGGAGGTCACATAGTTCTCATAAGACTTTGCAATAGACATGAATGATGCACCATACATTATAAGTAAAATTACTAAATTCATGGATACGAAATATTATGAATGAAAATTTCAGAGTCGTAAAAATATCACAATTAAAGCATTTCCTGAAACCATAATATAACGCTCTTTTATGTATAAACTTTTACGAAGGCGCAAACTACTACCAAACGAGCACAATGCATTTTTCTATAAAATATATTCAAATGTATAAGGGCAACAAAAATCAATTAGTTAAATGCATACTAGCTAAATATACATTTTTACTGAATGTACTTTTTGTAAGCGGTCAGTAAGAAACTCATTACAGAGCCGGCATCCTGACGTGACTGAAATGAAGTAGGATTAGAATTTGCGATAATCAGTATCAAAACCCCACCTAATGTCGGTTTCCGATTAGTTATCAGTCTTTCCATCATTTTGCATTGAACGTCGACCGTACTGTATTTTTTCCCTATGTGTATTTAGTGCTGAACTCAATAACAAGAAGTCACAGTCTGGAAGCGTTTGAACTGCAACTGAGAAACAAGGATGTACTTAACAGAGTTAGAACCACAAGAGTCGATCCCCAGCACGAGTGTCCGGATACACAAATACGGTGAAACAGCTTCTAAGTTCAACTTTCTAATCTCCTGAGAAATTAATTACTGTTCACGGTATAAATAGGTATATTTAAGCTCTATAGGCGTAGAGCGAAATTGCAAATGTGTATATGGGCTGAAATCCGTTAACCACTGCGGAATATACAATTGCTGCCAACAGACAGACTTTGGTAGTATATATTGGTGCTGTTACTTACGATACTAACAACCTAGGTAATAGCTAAAAGGCCCAGATACGTGTTTCCCTGGTATTCGGCCAATGCTTGATGCATACCGCGAATAGGAATTTATTTCTTAGGAGATAAAAAATCTACAGTTTCAAAACCGGTATATCAACCAGAAAGGAGACAGAGAAGGCTGAGGGACT